CAAAGTTGCTGGTGACTGAATTCCTAACACAGTGAATGCCAGTGAAAATGGGGTAGGCTCAGAGGCTAAAACAGGGAAGGAACAAGCTGGGTGTCTTCAAGTCCCCAGGGCTCAATGAAATTAAATGTCTTGTGGAATACTGAAGCAGCTGACTGAGGTAATATTTGAGCCATTATCTTTGAAAAGTCATTGAAGATGCGAGAGATTCCAGAAGACTGGAAAGGGCAAATATAGTACCTGTCTATAAAAATGGAAAGAAAGACAACCTGGAGAATTAGAGGTTAGTCAGTATAATTCCTGTACCCAGAAAGTTAATAACATCTAGACGATAAACTTAAAAAACAAACAAATGGTCTGGTAGCACTTTATAGACTAACAAAACATGTAGGTGGTATCATGAGCTTTTGTGAGCACAGCCCACTTCTTCGGATGACTGGTGTTTTGTTTTCAGGATGTGCAGGCCCAAACTAAAGAGGGGAGAAGGGAAAGGGAGGAAAGGAAAAAAATGAATGGGGTGGGAAACAAGGAGCAGAGGGTATGAAAATATCAAAGGGAAAAACAAATAGGCAGAACTGATAACCTATAAGCACCTAAAGGTTGCAGATAAGGATCATAGGATATCAATTAGATAGGAAGGGTACTAACTCAAGAATCTACACAAAGAGCTGCTGGCACCTTCATTGAATGGTAGGTGGATAATATCCCAGCCATCCGTTATCTCGATTGAGGAGGTCATCAATGTGAGAATTGAATTTGTAGAAGATAGTAAGTTGACAAGTAATAATCAGCATGAATTTGATGGGTCAAACAAACCTGATAGCTTTCTTTGATGGGGGTAACAAGCCTTGTGATTAGAGGAAGCAGTAGATGTGGTACATTTGGACTTTAGTAATGTTTTTGATAGTGTCTTGCACGTTCCTCTCATTCACAAACTAGGAAAATTAAACTAGATAGAGCTACTATTGATGGGTACAAAACTTGTTGGAAAATCATTTCTAGGCAGTAGTTATCAATGGACAAACTGGAGAAAGTCCAGAGAAGAGAAAGAAAAATGATTAAAGGTCTAGAGTACATAACCTAAAAGAAAAGATTGGAAATATTGGGTTTCTTTAGTATGTAAAAGAGAAGACTGAGAGACATGGTAACCATTTTCAAGTACATAAAAGGTTGTTATAAGGAGCAGGGAGACAAATTCTGCTTAACTTGTGAGGATAGGACAAAAAGCAATGGGCTGAAATGGCACCAAGAGAAGTTGAGGTTGGACATTAGGAAAAACTTCCCAACAGTCAGGGTAGTTCAGCACTGGAATGAATTAACCAGGGAAGTTGTGAAATTTCTGTCATTGGAGATTTGTAAGAGCAAGTTTGACAAACACTTGTCAAGAATGATCCAGATCAAGCCTGGGAAAAATATGTCCCGGGGGCTGGATCTGGCCTGCCCAGCCACTGGATCCGGCCCGCAGATGCAGCGGGGAGCCAAAGACAGATTTCCTTTCTTCCCTGCGGCCATTCCTCCATCCTGCTCAGAAAAGCATTATTCTTTCTCAGCTGTGAGCCCGGAAGAGGGAGGAGGGGTGCTTACTGTCACTCTGCTCTGAGAATAGGCTGTTGTCATCGAATGGGAGATCCTGTAATGTAGATTGGACTTCCAGGAGAAGTCCCAAGGCTTGAAGCCATGCAGACCGGTGCAAAGCCACCCCGTCGAGAGAGATTGTGCCATTGAGTCTGCGGAATCTAGGGCTGCCTGGATGGAAGTTCTAGATATTGTGCGGCCTTCCTCTCGCATGGCACTGAGCTCCTGCCTGTCATCATTGGGCAACCTCTCCTTAAACTTTGCAAGGGTATCCCATGATTTGAAGGTGTATCTGCTGAGGATCACTTGCTGATTGCGATTCTTAGCTGTAGACCCTGTCGTCTAGACTTTCCTGCCAAACAGGTCAGTCTTTTTCGCTCCATTTAATTTAGGAGTAGGGCCTTTTGGCCTTGTCTTTCCCTCTCCTCGACTGCTGAGACCACAATCAATGAGGGGCAAAGGTGAGAGTATAAGAACTTATAACCTTTGTGTGAAACAAAGTAGCTCCTCTCAACACTTTCAGCTGCCAGAGGGATAGAGGATGTGGTCTGCCATAGGGTCGTGTAATTCGACTGTATTGTCTTTATGACTTGCAGAGCCATCTTAGAGGGCCCTTCATGTGAAAGTATGTCCACCATTGACTCCACGGGTTCCTGTATCTCCTCCATTGGGAGATTCATGTTCTGCACCACCCTGCACAGCAGCTCTTGATATGACCTGTGGTCTACAGGCAGGGGCCCCAAGATGGAGGTGCCTGCCACTTCTTCGACTGGGGAGGATGACGAATAGGCTTGGGTCTGGGCAGTGTCCTTAGCTCTGTCCTTGGGCCCACCCAAAGGACTTTTCCCAGTGGCTGCTCCCTAGACTCAGGAGATGGACTGTCGCCTCTAGGTGGATGGGACTCCATCACAGACAGTGTCCTAAGGAGCACCTGTCCCGAGGAGAATGGGATCTCTGACTTGTGGACACCATCGACCTAGGAGCACCCTGGAACTGACTGGTGATAAGACCAGGGGTCCAGAAGGGCCACTGCACTCATGGAGGCCAATGCTTTTGCCACTGTTCAGGCAGGTCCCTTGTGCTGCATCAAGACCAACTACGCTGAGCTCTGGTTGATACCATGTCTGATTGATTCCAACTGCGACAACCATGATGGTGCCAATGATGACCATGTCGGGGCCTCATCTGGGACCTAGAACAGTGCCAAGGAGATCTGGAAGAGGAACAACACCTGGAACTTCTGGACCATGACCTCGACATGGAAGCCGATTTCTTGCCAATCCTTTGGTGCCAGCCTGGCGCTTGGTGCCGGGATCTCCCTCCGTGATGGCAGTGGAAGGCATTGCACTTGCGATGGGGGACCCTCCGAGGAGGAAGACCTGTTCTGGTACCATTCTGTGGATTGTGGCCTATGGAGCATGGCCTGCTTTCCCCTTGAGTAGTGCGGTCCCAGTGGTGCAGGTGTTTTGTTGCACATCATGAAAACCTTGACCTCTGAGATTTCTATCAGATCCCTGGGCACTTCAAAGATGTCCAGCATCAAAGGGGAGTTCAAGACCTGCACTGGGCTCATGTCTGTCAGTGGAAGGTCACATGCTGAACTAAACAGCACTGGTAATGGGGCTGGTGTCAACAGCAATTCCTGGAGTTCCCGCACCAGGGATTTTCTCCAGGCATGATCCTGTCTTTATCAGGGCCTATGAGAGGATCTACCTGTGTCCTCTCTCTTGCCCCATGGTGCCAGTGAGGTAGATCTATGGCTCTGCACTGCAGTCTTTGGTGCCAGGGAACTCTGGAGCCAAGAGTCCTTTGTCCTGCTCGGATTCTGCATTGCATCTCTTACTGAGGTTGGGGTGCTTCACACCGAAGCATGGCTTCCATCAGGAGCTGTTGGAGCCTATGCTCCTGTACTTCTTAGTATGGGGATTAAGGCTTTGGCAAATCTAGCACTTTTCATCACAGAGAAAAACAAAATGAAGACCAAGGAACAAGAGCTACCCCTAAGGACTAGGCACTTGCTAAGCAAGAGCTAGCTATAGTTCCAACGTTGCCATGAACGGTAAGAAGTAAGTGAGGGAAGGTAGGGTTGGCAGTTGTAGGGTCGGCAGTTGTGTGTATATATATATGTGTGAGTGTGTGTGTGTGTGTGTTTGTGTGTGTGCTGATATAGTGGTGCTGCTCTAGAGGTCTCCACAGCTGATCCTATGGGAGCTGCTAGGGGAAACGTCTCTGACATTCATACACATAGTGCACGTACACCTGAATTGGATTTGATGTGAACAATCATTCAAAGAAGAACCTTCCTTTCAAATGGCCGAAGGTGCCGTCCACAACCATGTGGACCTTGCTGAACCTAGCACTGAACGTTCCTTCCTTTGGTCCTGGTATCCTGTGCAGGGCTTCATCAGCCAGAAGAGCAGAGGGTAGGCAGCATCTCCCATCATGCATATCGGCATGTCCACTTCCCTGACCCTGATGATGAGGTCTGGGAAAAAAGTGCCTGTGTGCAGCTTCTGGAAGATGCTGGAGTTGCAGTACTTCCTTCCCTGACCACCCCACATAGATGTCGGTGGTCCAGCCTTGGTGGCCCACAAGGGACTTCAGGACCATGGAAAAGTACCCTTTCTGGTTGATGTATTCTGAAGTTTGGTGGTCGGAGGCCTGGATGGAGATATAGGTGCTGCCAATAACCATGTATATACATACACCCGCAGTTGGGGAAGCCCATTGCGGCAAAGCTGGGGACAATGGGGTCCGCATGCATGCACATGTGAGTGAGTGCGTATATGTACCTGGAAGCAAGGGCAATAGTACATAAGGGAATATAATCCTTCTAAGTCCATCACTCTCACAGAATGTTTCCTGGCAACAGAAAATCCTCAAAAAAAAAAAAACATTTTAGCTTCTCTTTCAGAACACAAAATACCCCTCTTGATAGGTCTCCCCCAACACAGATTTGTATTGATCTTTGCTTATACTTTCTAAACCTGCTAGACCCCAGCATCTTCTGTTCTCTCTCTCTCTCCCTCTCTCTCTCTGGGGGATACCAAGTCTTAAACTATTCCCTTGCAACAGAGATAGAAATGCTAGTGGAGGGATCAGGAACAAGGAGGGAAGAAAAGGAACAAAAGAGAAAAGCACCTCTCCAAATCCTACAGCCAGTTCACTGAAAGCCTGTTCCCACTTCTGGTGCCTTCTAATGCTGTTGCTACTATCTGGTGTGAAGAAGAATCCTTTCAAAGAGACACTTGTATCCTTTGACAACAAACTTGGCTAGGGGACTGCAGGAGCCAGAACGGAGTAATGAAGTATTAACACTCACCCAATTCCCAGTCCTGGTCCATCCAATGATGCATTGCACTGTATAAATATTAGTATTTATAGTACAGCAGATTTTTTAGAGAAAATACAAATGTATATGTACTTACTAAGACACTGTGGCTTGGGATTCCAGCCCTCTTTAGTGCATATGGAGTATCTTTCGTTGGTTTTAGGTGTGTAACCTTGATCACATTGGTAGCGAATTGTCCTACCTAACGTAGCTGGAAACATTTGTTCTCTGTAATATTCATAACTCCTAGTTAATGCTCCATTTTCTATGTGTGGGTAGTCACAGGGCCTCCCTTTAAAAATAGTTTAAAAAATAAGTTATTACAAAGTACATGCAAGAAAAATTCAGTTTGCTAAGTTCTGAATATTCATATTCTAGTTCTCTTCTCAGCTTTTGTACTTTATTATTGAATGTTACATTAACTGGAGTGAGGAGATCAAAATATGTACACTCCGATGATCAGGGTTATCTTCTCTCTCATATTGGTAAAATTTTCCTGCTACTAGGATCTGAGGGTATGTCTACACTACAAAGTTAATTCGAACTAGCGGAGCGCTTAGTTCGAACTAGGTAAACCTCATTTTACAAGGATTAAGCCTACTTCGAATTTACTAGTTTGGATTAAGGGCTGTGTAGCCCCTTAATTCGAACTAGTGGGAGGCTAGCCCTCCCCACGTTTCCCTGGTGGCAACTCTGGCCAACACCAGGAAAGCTCTTCTGCCCCCCTCCCAGCCCTGGACCCCTTAAAGGGGCACGGGCTGGCTACAGTGCCCGTGCAAGCCTGCCAGCACCCAGCCAGCAGACCCTGCACCTGGCACGGATCGAGCCATGCACCCGATGCCCCCCCGCCCCCCCCCT